TGTGGCCGAGGTGGTTGGAGATATTCAAGAATATGAACATCATTCCCGTGTTGGTTTTGGGTTTTGTGACATTTGTCTTGCAGATAAGTTTGATTCTATGCAAGAAGGATTATTACAAAGTGCTTGGACTGGATAAGAATGCATCTGAAAAGGACATAAAGAGGGCATTTAGAAAACTTGCCATAAAATACCATCCAGACAAAAACAAGGCTTCTGATGCAGGCCAAAAGTTTCAGGAAATAGCTGAGTCATATGAAGTGCTCTCTGATCCTAAGAAACGAAGACAGTATGATGCGGAAGGAGAAGGATTTCGGTTCTCTGGGCATGCTGGACATGGGGCACATCATTTCAACTTTGACGACATTGTCAAGATGTTTGATGATGATTTGATGACTGGCTTCGGCCAAGGCTTCAGTGGATTCCATGATGGAGGTCATGGCTCCCATCATCAGAGATTCAATGAAAAGCACAGATTCCATGCTCATCGGGTAAATGCATTCAGTTTTGATGACTTTTTCAATGATGATTTTGGCTTTGGAGAAGAATTTTCCAAGCATGGAGGACCTGACAGCTTTTTCACAAGTGATAGCATCTTCGGTTCACATGCAAGTGCCTTTTCACATGGTGATGGTGGATATGCCCAAGCTTCAAGTCATACAAGAAGGCAAGGACATCATCAAAGCTGCAGAACTGTCACAAGGAGAGAAGGAAATGTAGTGTCAACTCATACTACTTGTTCATGACTTTCATGCAATATGCCTGCTGAGATTAATGAAATGTCTGTGATATTGATGTGTAATAGGATCTATTATGATGTCAGTCCTGTTGTCCAGGACAGTAAAACTTTTTTCCTTAGTCTGAGCCCACTGCAAGCTTCCATGGTCAAGGTGCAGTCAATAAGTCAACTGAAAAGAAGATTGTGTAATGTTTTTTCAGTGATGCAGTGCTCAGTGCTCTTAGTTTTGATGGTATCATCTGGGCTCAGGACTGTGTGGATGTCTGATGATGCCAAATAAATTGTGCTCTGAGCATGCATTTTTCAGAATATACTGAAGTGAGGAATACACTGAATAGTGAAGAAGATACTGAATAGTGAAGTGAAGTGAAGAATATGCAGAATGTACTGAAGCAGAAAAATGTCTCATTGGATGTATAACATCACTTAGTTTTCAACTTGTCTGTAGCACATTGTCTCAATCAGACCATGAATGTTAGAAGTAGCCATTGGACATCATATGGACAGTCTTGTTACCATTTGCAAGTATTCATTTACTCGGTGTGTCAGATTGGCAGGGAACAAAATGGCTAAAGTTGTATTTTCAACACTTTCCAGATGTAGAGGGATCACATATGCACTGTCCTCATGCAACACAAATTGCTAAGACATTCAGATGTCTTGGTTGAATTGTTGGTTGGCTGGTTATCTGAGTAACATAAAAGTTTTATGCAGTGAATTAATAGCACTGACATTTGTTCAGAATGATTTGCATTCTACCATTTTCACTTCCAGCATCTATTGGCCAACAACAGGTTTTGAAGAGATGCCTGTTGTGGGATGTGCACTAGCCATCTGGAAGCGTCATCAGGTGATGATGGATGGTGGCGGCAACCAAGTCTGGTACTTTGTATGTTCCCACTTTCAGGCCACCCTTTTGAGAATCTCAAGCATATGGACAAGGGGTCTGGGGGTCATGGTCTGGGCTTGTTTTCAGAATATATAATATTAGCCATATGACAATGTACTGAATGAATTTGCCTCAAAATTTGGTGTCATCCCAATTTTTCCAGACGTCCCTGCGCCTATGGAGGGAGCGGGACGCCCAATAACATAGTATTACGGCGTTGAAGGGGACTAGGACCAGCGTTATGATGCAGTCTGCCAGAACATCTCATCGCGCGCCGCGGATCGGCTGTATGAAAATAGTGATGCAGCTTGGGTGAGTTTTCCACCGGCAGGTCAGGTTCTGTGGCGCAGCTGCAATTGGTTTTGCAACGATATTGTGACTGCCTTCCGCGAATGGAGGGCGTGGTCAGGTTCGTGTTGCGTGGCGCCGCGGACGTATTTTCCTGGTCAGGCGTACCGCGATAATGTGGTTCGCCATAGGTCAGCGTAGGATCAGGACCGTCATAGCGTAACTCTGATTGGACGGAGGCGACCTTTAGCCATTGAAACAATCAGGTCAAAGCCAGAATTTGCTTGATTACGCCTTAGCGGAATATATTCCGACTTCCGATCAGAGCGCACCGGAATGGTGACAAGGACTCCGCGCAGCACAGTACAACCTCGCGTGGACCTCGATTCCGACTTGAGGCGTAAAGCTAGCTTTCAGAGGCGGCTCCGATACGATCGATTGGTGTGACAGCGGTTTAAAGGTCGTTTACTGATTTGGGGGTTCATAGTGGCCTGCATGTGTTATTCATTTTAGGAGCAAAATAGCTGCATGCGGCCGCGGCCAATCTGAGCGAGTAGTGACAGGCTGAACACGTTCTGCCGCTCGAGTTTCCATTCTGGTATGCACGCCAGCAATCAGGTTAATTCCGACCAGGACTCACACCGAAGATTCGAGGGAATCGATTCGAACCCGACTCAACGATAACATTGTACATTCCGGAAACGATGCCAACTCCATCCGGAAGCAAACGCAAGCCTGTTGAGAACTGCTGGTAGACATTACAAATTTGAGAACCGGCTACTCCGTTGAGTCCCAGGTGCGAGTCCCCTGAGTCCCCTGAGTTGAGTACCCCCTAGTGTGACGCCGCAGTCTAAAAGTCCAAATACCCGCTGGCGTGTTTGATGAACAAAATTGCTTGCTGCAGCACCGTCAGCCTGTCGTTAGCTTCGTTGCCTTATATGCATCGGCGCCCTGTGGACGGTTGGAGCCACGGATGCCAACACCGTACTTGCGGCGTCTGCTCGGGCGCCCCTTTCCACGGCCAAATGTGCACATGTGCAGGGCACCACCAACTAGCTAGGCGACTAGCTCGAAAGCGTTCCCTTTTACACCACTTCGAGCTCCTGCCAACATTGGGATGGATCTTCCTCCTCCGGAATGTTTTTGGTACCTAACTCGGCTCTTTCGCTCGCACACATGTATGTCGACCTTCGACAATAAACCAGGGCGGTCGCTCCGAGTAGGTTCCTTCATCAGCACACATACGAGCTCTCCTAACTGTTTTACGCGCTCTGAACACACTGCTGGGGGTGCGCGGTCAGTCAGGGCTCGGACGAGGTGTTCCGTGCCTGGACACGCTTGATGATGGACGTTGACGTTTACGAACTTTTGTCAACTTCTCGTTCACAAAGTTCAAGGCTGCTCAAATTTCACATATATTTGTGTCGAACACGATTACTCGGTACGATTGAAAAGCGCACAAATATTCCAGAACCAGTGTTTTGTGTCCCGCCCCACTGCTGTGAACACGTGAAATTATAATACAGTACTGAAAAGACAACCACATGATCATGTGAATTTACGTGTCATATATGGCACACATTCCTGAGCAATGATTACCAGCCGTGTCCGGTCCTCCTGCCAGGACGAAAGGAAGACCGTGTTGCAGAGTATTCCAATAGCAATCAGCATTGTCTACAAATACTTAACATCAGGCACGACGAACGCGAACCTATTTGGCCAAGGGACACATATTCTCAATACATGTAAAATTATTTTAAAACCGTGCACAAACGATCACATGATTGCGTAAACCTGGTAAACCCTGATCAGAAAACAACAAAGCGTGGCCTAATACTGCGGCCCAATTATGTGGGCCCAATACAATGGCGACCCTACTACTATCGCAAACGGAAACGAACCTATTTAGCCAAGGAATTCTTTCTTAGTGGAGAAAAGCATAGTTGGCATGGTGATCACATGATCACATCACATCACTTTTGGATGATCACACTTTGTTTAAGTAATTTCAGATGCCTCTGGGCTAATCAGATGCAAGGCCATTGAACTGAAGGTACAACCGTCCGGCCAAATTCCGCTGCTTCGACTGATGACGTCACAAGTGTATTCGAACCATTGCGATGCATAGGCGATACACGCAAAATGTAGTTTAAAAAGTTTGATGAGCTAGTTTAAGACCGTAAGCCTGGATATATATTTGGCTTGTATGTAACACCACTATCTGTTCTTGCACCAGGTCATAATATTGGCCCAAAAGAGTATTTTTTCACGATCGATTGGCGTCGAAACTGAGCGCCTTTCCCCTGTAAGGCCGGGAGGCGAAATTCGAACCACCAAGTTTTCTCGGAAGTAATTGTATGATTTGTATACAACACGCAGGAGCCAAAAGAGTTTACGGATGTCGCTTTAGGAGAATTTAACAATTACGCATAATAACAGGGGCGGTCAAGGTCAGGTCAAAGGTCTGCATAAGCCTTGCTAACATCAGTCTTACTGGTTCTGGGCGAACTTAAGCATGTCTCGTCTTAACATCGCGTTCGTTGGCTTTGTGAGGATGATGTGTTACTAAAATACTGATGCCATGACCCGTTCAGGTCAAGGTCATGGCACGGAAGATCGGCACGATAATTTGGTTGCTCACGGGGTCAGTGCCTCAAAACATTTATTTACGTCCATTTTGCCTATAACGCATAAGAAATGTATATTAAAACTTGCAACTTTTTGGGTAAGTACAGCCAAGATGTAGGTGCAAGGTCAATATGAAAACACACATTGTCAACACAGCGTAAAATAAGTTAGTCCTGTCGCAGTTTTTAGAACACTTACGATTTTCATGACATCGCCTTAACCTCATATCGGATCATTCTAGTGCTGAATAAGAAAAATTGCCAGTCGATACGAAATTTTTCACCTCAGAAACCCTGCAGTGCACAGGACAGAATTATGATAACCCTAAACTTGCGTCATAAATAGCTACTTCTCCGATTATTTCCGGTTTGAAATGAAGATTTTCGAACATTTTTAAAAGGAAAAATTGTCGTTTGCAACACAATGAGAGTAAGGCAAAAGTGTATTATTGTGCTGGCAAACAAGGGGCCGCACACCGTACACAAAATGACATACAGAGCACTCGGCCACACATTTAATATCTTAACTATGGTAAAGACACTCAAGAGTAATCATAACAATTTGTGGCGAGGACCCAGAGTCCTTCTCAGCAACACGCAATAAAAGACTAGACCACCAACTGAGACAGTTTTCAGCAACCTTATTATAAACAAGAACCAAGGGCTACCATACACTCAAACACTCACGTTAAACAAACACTCGCACACAAGTATCACAGTATCATAGTATATACAAGTATACAAGTGCACGCTAGCAGGCATCAGCTCTTGGGGCGGTGTCCTTATTCTAAACAGCACAAACACGGGCACTAACCAAAAAGCCTAATCGGTGTTGCTATTCGAAGCAGCGGCACGAACACTTCTTAACATTATTAGCGACTCGCGGCATGCTGGCACAGCTGCTTGTCACGGCGTCTCTGCGCCGCGTCCCTGTCCTTCTGGCGGTTAAGCCAGCGCAGCCGGATGTGCAGCCGGGTGCTGGCCAACTTTCGAAGGATGCGCCCGTCAACGTCTTATTTTGCGTTGATGTGCTGCCTTCTGACGCCTCTACCGCAGCTCTCGTTGTTTCATCAGTCTTTGCAGGCTTTGGTGTCACTTGATGGTGCGTGTGATGAACGACGCCGATACGCTGATGGCTGACTTTTCACCGCCTCCCAAACCGAGCGGACTGCTACCGGAGGAAAAGCTCAGTTAGATGATGCCAATACGGTAGTACATGCTGCTTAGATGAAGATACAATGAAACTTCATTGATATTTATTGCTCCCCCACTGCTTTACAGACAACTATTAGATGAGACAGGCCTTGCTGGCATGCAATAAAAGTACATGATATGCAATAAACGTTCTTTAACAGGCACAAACGAGTGCTATTAATGTGCAGTGCAGGCATGAACAATTGCTTTATTTATTCTGCATATGAAAATTGTTTGCTGTCCGAAATCTATGTTTAATAACACAAAAGTATGGTGTTCATTCCAACACACACACTGAAGCCAAAGAATACTCTGCACTTTCCAAAAACTTACTTTGGATGAGGCTCATGTTGAACTGATGGCTTCTTGTTCTTGCTGAGCAGACAGCAGACCTCCTTCCTCTCATGCCTCCCCCTTAAGCATCTGTCTCTGGGCATCTCCTCACAGGCCCTGGGAGATCAGAGCAAAACATGCTGTTTGTTACCAGATAAGTTTGTCCTTTGAAGTGTCGGGAGAACATTCAGCCTGTACCATGCCCTTTGTAATGATTTCAATCTCACAGGAAGTCACTGGACATAAGTTCCCAGTTCCAACTCGTCAAAGAACTGGGAACTCGATATCACCCAAAAATTACCGACCGACCTCCAACTTGCAAACGTCAGAATATTCAATACATACAATGTTTAACATTCTTTCCAATGTATGTTCGTGGAGATCATAAGGTCTTGGGGCTAAAAACACCAAGAATCATCCAAGTTTCAGACACTGATGCTGATGGTTAATAAGTAAAACATCAGCACAAAGCACTCAGACATAATATTAGTAATCCTCCCGACACCCTCCCCTAGACACCCCCTCCCCTTCCCCACACGCCATGAGAGCAAGCACCTATCCAAAAGAGAGACATGAGTTATGATACCGTGTTGGCTCGAGTCGTCAGACCAAAACCAAAATCCCAATTTCGCAACTCTGCACCTTACCTTTCTTCCGCCAACCTTACCTTTCTTTCTTTTTCAAATGACGCCACTTGACGCCCATTCATAGCAGGGCACACCAGGATGCGCACACTACCTATACATTTACTCGGCCCAATACCATGTTGGGTCCAGCTAGGTCAAATACTGGGACCTAAGACACTGGCCCCAGCTACCAACGTCAAGGCTGCGTAGATGAAACCAAGGCTACTAGAAAACTAACCTTGGGTGAAACCTAGGGCGCGTTCGGCCGGCAAATGATCTCGAAAAGTTGTCCGGGTTGTCAGTAAATTTTCCGAATTGGTATTCGGCACTGCTGACACGGAAAATCATCCCAGATAATTTTCCGTGGCGAGGGAGAATCCAGAAGAGTTTTCAGAGGATGGTCAAGGCGGATAATCTGTTTTTGCTATGCACTGCTGTGACCGTTGACTGTGGATGGCGCGTGGGAGAATAACCTGGGGGATAATTTTCGGACCGGTGGAGTGTAAATGGAGAATCTCCGCTGATGATTATCTGAGAGATAATTATTAGCTGAATCATTTTCCCTGGACCGAACGCACCACTAGTGTAAAATTGTGCGGTGATTATCATGTCATCTTTGCCACACGTTGGCATGACGTCACTGATTCTGAGACTTCAATTCGCGGATAGCTGAATCAGCTGATAGACGCCGGGCGTCATGTCGGGGGTCAGTCAGAATATCGGAATATACGTGCGGCAACAAAAAGGTCGTTGGCGGAAGGCGCAGCTCTGGAACGCAGAGCACGTCGGTTTGCTGCCGCCGATCAACTTCGGCCTGCAACGCTGCACTGTAACGACTTGTTTGTTTCGTAGTTGATCCTTGAGGTGAGGCCGTACGTTTTCTGTTCGTCGGTGCTCGCTGTTCGGTTGCACGGTTTATACCTCGCTGTCCCTTCGTGGATGGTCTGAGAGTTGTTCACTTGTCAGATAACCTAACTGCTGTGTTTCATAACGCATTTCTGCTGCGTCGATACGTATGCACGTACGCACTAGATCTGCGCGCAGTAGAACGTTCTGCAGGGCGCCCCCGCGAGATCGCAGGTCACCCGCCAGCACCCCGCGGCCCCAAGGTGTATACAGACTGGCGCATGCCGCGTAGCGTCGGGCGAGGGCCGACCACGACTAGGGTCGCGACTCTGCACTCCTTACACAACGCCAGCGAGTCCGATTATCTTGAGGCCGGATATAGAAAGCATTCTCACTTACATTTCTAATGGACAGTTACCATGTTTACATGGGCAGCTGTGATTCGAATGGAGCCGGGATCCGTCCTCGATCCGGACTATCGGGCCCATGTATACACTTCACGCGCTGGTCCGCTGATTCGAATCATGCGCCGGCAGAAATCCATTCCCGTGGGAGGATCATCCGTTCAGGAAGGGATTACGTTCGAATTTTCGGTGGTCAAGGCTGCTTAAAGGATATTTGCTGTGTATAACAAAAAAAGAAGAAGAAAACCGCCTGGTTCACGCAGTTGTGCTCAAGGCCATTTCAGATATGTTTGGTGTTGCCGCTTTTCCATGGGTTTTCAGCTATTGCTCAAGACGATCCAAGTCTAACATGGAAAAGAAAAAGGGAAAGAAGGTGAAGCTGACACCACGCTATTTCAAGCACTCTAATTATTGAGGGCCTTAAGCGGCAAGCAGCACAGAAATGCTCACGTAATATAAGCTTGTTGGGCGTTGATCTACGCAGACAGTAGGCGTCAGCAGTGTTTGGTGTTATCTTTGTGTCTCAAGGTTAGATTGATTTGCATCTGGCGCAGGCTCCATGCTTCCAAAAACCATGTGGAGCTCACACGCAGTATCTGAAGTCTGGTTTTGGCTCTTGGAGGAGAGAGCAAAAATATTAAAACCACGGCTTGTAGTGAGAACAAAATAACCCAGGTAACTTTGCACTGCATTCACAGCTGGCACTAAAGGACCATCTTTGGTAGCAGATGACAGAAAACACCATGCTCTAGCAGGTCTCAGTGATTGCTAAAGACCATTAGAAATTGACTGCTTGCAATTTTTCAATTTTCTGGCTTCCTAAGTAAGTGCTTCCTTCCTAAGTATATGCTCGCACCTACTCTATGTTTTAAGCCATGAAGCTGATGGAAAATTGTTGATATCGACAATTATATTACAAATGTGTCAGTCCCAATAAGGGCTGATGGAAGCAGATGCCTAAAATGTTGTGCACCTGTTGCACCATTCTCTGGACCACGTCATGCTAAGTTTGTGATTGAAATGTCATGCAAGCCACGATATAAATAGGAGCATCTGGGGTATGATAATTAGTTTATCTACATTCCAGCTAAGGTACAATCTTTCTCACCCAGAGGAAAGATTCTGGGACCATGTGATACCCGCCTAGGCTTTTACTGACCCAGATGTATTTAATTTGGGAACGGGTGTGTATTTTCCTTTTTAGCTGGACAGAATGCCTGCCCCTTCCCAGCTTTGGGAAAAAACTTGGTCAAAATCAGGGAGAACATGTTTTGCACCATTTCTTTGGGATACAAAATTTCTCTGCTCACGCGCTCCACAAAGTTATGAACAAAACTACACCACCTGGGACGTCAGGCTGCTGCGTGATCGGGACACTGGATCACGCCAGAGGCCAAAGGGTGCAGGCCCCTTGGCACCGAGGCACGCGGAGCCACGCGGTATCTTCATAACAATATACTCTGTCAGACACCGGTGCTCGCCAAAGAACTTGCCTGAGCAATAAATCGGTATCAAAACACACACTTCACCTAAGAAAAATTTCGGTACGCGGACATTTCAAACACAGGAAGGAATCACCCCCATCCCCCACCGTAAAGGCCGCAAAGTTCCGCCCTCTTTGGCTCGTCCGCAGGAGCCTACTCCAGAGTGGCTACGGTGCGGAGTGCCTCGGGAGGACGAGATCCGCAGATTTCATAAGGTGTGTGCCGGACTGATACGAGTCATTGCGCTTGCGCACCACCCTGCTATATCACCTGGAACACCTGATTCGGCCTCCCGAGCCAGCGCGGCCGCCGCGTGCCATCTAGCGGGAGTTCTCCGAATCAGCTGAACCTCGGTGCCATTTACAGGCGATGCCCGCGCCATACGCAAAGGACGGTGCCTGCATACCGTTCCAAGCGCCCGCATCATGTAGACCATGGGCGTAGGAACAGGGAGCACGGGTCATGTCCCCCCCCCCACACTTTTCGAGGTGGGGGCAGCAATGTTAGCTGCCCCCCCCCCCCACTTTTCAGATTAAGGTTGCATTTGGCTTACTTTTGCACTGCATTAAACATGCACGCCGATTTAACTAGTTCACCAGCCATCTCTTAAGATGCGTCATCTTTTTCGTTTGCTCATTGGCCATCACTTAGTGGTACAGCCGCAGGGCCGACGCCGCACGGCCTGGAGACTGCGACGCCGGGCGTCGAGGCTGTTACGCCTTGCGAGCACGCATGTTCAACACCATATTGCGTAGTTTTCTCATCAGTAATCAGCTCTGACAAGATCTTGAGCATTATAAGACGAACATGGGCTAGCCACGTTAATATCTGCGATCTACATCACCTGCAATCTACAGTCGGGGAGAACTCAATATCTCTGAGGAACACAAAAAAAACCATCAAACTGGAGCCGCTGTCAAAACTATCGGACTGCCTGCGGTGATCAGGGATGTTGTTGCGTCAGTGAGGGTCCCTGTGCTGATCCGGGACTAACTGCGCGAGTCAGATGGCCCCCCGCGTCAGGAATGGGGACTGTGCTATGATATATCCTTTTAATGACCTCCAGATCGACCAGGAGATCCCGCGCCGTGCCACCAGAATGATAGCCAATGGGACGAAATGGCGCTTCAGCCCTTGACCGGAAACGGTAATGTACCCCTGGTGTTCTACTCAAGAGGCCCCTTGCCCGGAAGGGAATAAGGGGTCTCATTATTGTGGAGTAGATTGGGACTCCCATTCTTGTTGAAAAGCACAAGTCGAAATGAATTTTAAAAAACGAGCAAGGTCATGACATGTTTGCCTGAGAACGTTTATTTCTTTCAGAATGTATTATGGAAACAAATTACATCACAAGGCCTGAACATGCCCGCCCGCAACTTCGAGAGCAAGGACAAGGATGGTCTGGGTTGCAACTTCCGTGAAACCGATAAGTTTCGGCCACTGCAAGTGCCACCAGACGGCGGGCGCCGTGTTAATCTGTCTTCTGGGCAGATAAATAGCTGCGGAAACACGAAAAGTAGAGATTTTACGCTCACTCTTCCAATTCAACCACCAGATTCCAGCCCCACTTCGCGGCGCCTTAGGGACCAATCCGCTCTTTTAATCAATCTAAAAATTGCCCGTGTGAAATATACCTTCAGATTGCCTTCTAAATGCAAGATTTGATGTCGTGAAGCGTCCAAGGATACTTTCTCAGAAGCGTCGTCATTTTCGTCCACCCATTGCCCACAACTTAATATTAACTGCTGGGCCGACGCTGCGCGTCCTACGGAGACTGCAACGCCTGGAGGCGAAGCTTGTGCTAAATTTTTGAGTGCGCATGCTCAAAATAACACCACATAATTTGTATGACTAGGTGATTAAAGTGTTTAAAGGTAATCATTTCAGAAGCGTCATCATTTTCGTCCACCGGTGGGCCACGGCTAAATGTTAAATTTGTGAGCCAGCATGTTAAAAAACACGCTACATGAAATGCATCACTAATCGATTCTGACTGAATGGTGAACATTTTCAGACAAACATGGCTCGGCCATGTTAATACACCTTGTTGACCACTCGATTTGCAATTAAATTTTCATCGTTAAATTCGGATCAAACATCGATCAATAATCTACCTTTGCGATGTCCTCAATGTCTGTAGCACCCAGATAAAAAATCGACAACGCTTCTGAATTCTATCGGCTTAGAAACAGTCAGCTAACCATTGTAAATTAAGAGCGCCGGTGATTTCTTCCGTGCAGTCATTCGACGCCCGATTTCTGCAGCTTATTGACCTCCAAATGCAAGCAGCATTGAGCTCACGGTAGCCCCTGGTTTCTGTTCTGGTTACGAGGTAAAAATAACAATAACACGAAGAAAACCGTGTCACTTGTTAACAAGTAGGCCATATCCGGGGATTTGGGG